GTAATTATCTATTAAAATTAATTTAATTAATTATAATTATTATAAAATTTTTAAAATATTTAAATATTTTTAAATAAGAGTAAATTTATTTATTGTAAAGGATGATACTTCTTATACATCACCTTTATATATATATCTTATCCTAACCTTAATTCTAACTTAACTCTAAACTATGTGATACTAATATATATGACTAAAGATAATGCTGTAACTAGTTACAACCATATAATGCTTATTTATTATAGGGTTATAACTAGTTGTAACTTAATTTTATTAATATCACAACTAGTTGTAATCTTATGATAAATAAGCATCATATGATTATAACTAGTTGCAATGCTATCTTAATATATGACAAATAGGGTTTCGCATATGAAAAAATTTCTGTCTCCAGAATATATATAAAAAATAAAAAGAGAGGGGTATGATATGAGTGATAAAATAAAGATGATGATATTATACCTATGATAAATAAATTTACTCTTTAAAAAAAGATGTAATTTATCATTTAAATAATATATCATCTTATTATATAATTATATTTATTATCTATGTTATACTTCTTTATTTTTTAATTTTACTATATATTTTAAAATTTTAGAATTTTTTTACTTACAAAAATCTTATTTATCATATTATTTCTGTTATATAAATCATTTATATAATTTTATAATTTTACCTAAAATTTCATAATTCAGGATAATCATGTGATAGAATAAGATATAATTTAAATAATAAATTACAAAATCTATTTTTTTAATTTATAAAAAGTATTAATTTTTTAAAAAATAAAATAATAATTATAAATAATTTTATAAGATTTATATAGTATTTGATAATAAAAAATTTCAAAAAAAATATTTTTAAATTAATATTAATTAATATATAAATATAAATTATTTTATTTTATTTTATTGCAAAATATCTATATAATAATTTAAATATCAAAAAATAATCTTTAGCATTTTTATTTTATATTTTAAATTTTTTTAAAAATAAAAAAGTAGTTAAAAAAATATTATATAAGTAAAAATCTTTTTAAATTATATTAAAATTATAATAAAAGATATGATAAAATTTTTTTAATATAATAAAAATTAAAACTATTAAAATTATTTAAAAATATAAAAAAGGATATAATAAAATTATTATAAAAAAATTTTGACAAGCATCTATAATTCTTTTTATATTAAATTAAATTTATATAAATATATAATTCATTTTTTTTTAATTTTTAATACTAAAGCTTTATTAAAATCTAATTTATATTAAAATACTTTTAATTTGATAGATTAAATTAGCAAACTTAAATTTTAAAATATAATAAATATTATATGTTTAAAAAATTAATAATTAAATTTATTTTACCTAAATTTTTTTAATTATTTTATTATATTTATTATTAAAATCTAATTAATATTAACTTATATTAATATTAATTATTTTGATTAAAATTATTTTAGACTATAAATAATTAGATAATTAAATTATTAGACTAATAGAGTTTATCCATTTTAATTTCAAATTTTATTAAATTATTAGATTTATATCTAATATCAATTGCTACAAATTTTTTAAGATTTATTAAATAAAGAATAAATTTTTTAAACTTATCTGATATAAAAATTTAATAATATTAATTATTTGTTTTAATAAATATTTTAACAAAAAGCTATATTCTTCTTCAAAAAGTATTTGACTATTTACTGATTATTTACCAATCATTTAAATTATAGCCAATTTTAATATTTTATTATTTTATAATTTATTAATAAAATTTTTATAAAATTTATATATGTAACTTAGAAAACTTATACTTTTTATTTATATTATTAGTATTTAATTAGATTGCTACAATTATTTATTATAGTTTGAATCTTTTGTAATATACTTTTAACTAAATTTATTAAAATTTTAGATTCAATTTGATTTTATTTCTCTTTTAAAATTATTATTAATTCCTTAAGATTTTTTATATAGGTTTGTATACCTAAACTTTTCTTTTCAAAATATCTTATAAATATTTAATTGGATTAAAATCTAGATTTTATATATATTATAGAAGATTTAATACTAAATTATTCTTTTTTCTATTGATTAATTATACTTGTTCTATGAACTACATCATTATTATTTGGAAAAATATATTGTAAATTATTTTTAAAACTGTTATAAAATGATAAAAAAGTATTTTTTAACATATTAATATATACAGAATTAGTAATTTGAATTAAAAGACCAAGTCTATCTTTTACAAAATATTCTCATATTATAACATCTCAATTTTCTGATTTTATTTTAAAATTAAATAATTTATATCATATTTTTAATGTAGTTTATACTAAACTTAATAATGAACATCATTTTAGAATAATAAAAATAGAATTCATCACTTTATATAATTAAATTTCATTTAGAATTCTAATTTCTTTTTTTATGATACTATTTTAATATTTTTAATGATTTATTTTAGAAATTAATAGTTTTCTCTTAATTGCTTAACTAAAAATCTCAGATTATAAAACACTTCTTATAGTATTATAATATATTATATTTATTGATAAATCTTTAAATTTTTCTGTTATTTTATCTAAAGACTATTAATATTTTTTTTAACAATTTTTATAAGATGTCTAATATCTTTTCTATTAATTTTGATGATCTACCTGATTGTGAAATAATATTAGTTTAGTTTTTATTTTTATAACTGATTATTATATTATAAATAATTGACTTAGAATAATAAAGAATAGCTTTAATATTTCTTTTACTATAATCTTTTTTCTAAAGTCTAATAATCTTTTCTTGCTCAAAGTCAAAATGTTAATTTTATTTAGACATGTTTAAAAAATAAATTTTTATTTTCAAATGATTTCTATATGAAAAAAAGATTTTTTATATACATTAGTTATAATATAACCTAAATTTTAATATGTTAAATCTATAATAATTAATAAGATAGTCAAATATTTTTTAAAGAAAGTGTATATATAAAAATTTATTAGACAATTAAATAGATAAAATCTAATAAATTATTAATATAGACTTAAACTGAAATAGTCTAATAAGATTATTTCTAAAAATCTAAATTATACTAATTAAATTTTATTCAAAACTATCACTGATTATCTTTGTTTAATTTTAATTTTTAAATTAAAAATTTAAATCTTTATAATTAATTAAATAAATTAAATTAGAAATTTAAGAATTAATTAAATTAATTAAAAAAAAAAATTTATTATAATTTAAATTAAATTAGTAAATAATAAATACTATTTAAAATATTTAAATTTAGTTAAACTAATTTTGAAAAAGTCAAGTTATATAATAAAACTAATAAAACTTAATAAAACTTATTTAAGTTTAAAATATAAAATTAATTAAACTAGTTTAAAATAATAAAAATTAATTTTAATAAATAAATATAATAAATTAAATTAGAAAAAACCAATAAAATTTTATTAAATTTAATAAATTAAGTTTAGTTTTATCAATAATTAAAAATATAATTTTTGTAAAATTTATTAAAATTATATATTTATTTAATATAAATTTTAAATATTTTTTTAATAAAATAAAATATAAACATTTATTATTAAAATCTAATTATAAGTATAGTAAATCATATAAACTATTATATGATTTAATAGTAAATCTTTTATATATTTTTAATATTTAATAATAAAATATTTTTTTAAATTATAAAGAATTTTATAAAATGAATTTTTTAAAAAAAAAGTTTAAAATGATAATAAAAATATATAAAAAAAATATTACTTTTATTTTTTATATATAAAATTTATTTTTATATTTATTTAATTTGATAAATAAATTTTTTATTAATTAAATATTATTTAAAAATTAATTATTTAATAATAATTATAGTTTAACTTAGCCTGCATTACTGTTTTATAAGAATGAAAAATTCAGCAAGAATATTTCTGCTTTAAACCAAGAATTAAATAAGACTATAGATCAAGTTAGCACTGTTAACAAATAATAATTAAAACTATTTTTTTTAAAATAAATTATAATATTTTAAAAATAACATAATTTTTTTTTAGTTTTATTAAAATATTTATAAAAATATTATTAAAAAATATATTAACTAATAATAAAAATTAATATTTTTTTTAAAAAAACAAATTTTATATTATAATTTTATATAATTTAGAATTTATTTATAAAAATTTAATATAATCAAAATATTTTATATTTAATTATTTAAAATAAATATAATTAATAATCTTAATTATAAAAAAAATTTTAAATAATACTTTTATTTTTAATAGTTTATATATATTTATATATAATATTATTAATAAATCTAAAGATTAATAAGTTATTAAATAATAAAAAAAAACAAAAATATACTAATTCTTATTAAAAATCTATAATGTTTAATAAAAATTAAAAATATATTAAAATTTATAATAATAATCAAAACTCAAATGAAACTATTTTAAAATTATAATAAAGATATAGTAAATCCTTTTGATATAATAAAAGCTTAAACTGTTAAGCTATAATAAAGAATATAATAAAACTATTTTAAAAGTTTTGGCAGGCATCTATAAAGTTAGTAAAACTTTATTAAATTTAAACCTTTTTATAAATTTAAATAAGCAATTGTATTTTATAAATATATATTTAGTAACAATTTTTTTTATAATTAAAATTTTATTAATTAAAAATTTTTGTTAATTACAATACATAAAATTAGTATTATTAAAAAATGTTAAAATATTAATTAGTGATTAAATTTATGAAAGTTATTTATTAAAGATAAATATTATAGGAAAATTATAGAAATTTAATAGTTGAAATATTAACAAAAGTATCAAAAAATGTTATAGTAATAAAAAAAAAAATTCACGTGAAATAACTGCCTTGACGCCATAAAAATTGAATCAAATCTTTCACTCGTTAATTCCTGACGCCGATTTCCTTTCTCTTCTTTCTTTTTTTCCTTTTGGAAAAAAAATCTAACGCTAACAAGAATGTCACCAACAACACGTGGCAGAAAGAAAACCAAAGATAATGATACATCAAATAAAACTCAACCGAAAAAAATTCGTAGCAAGGCAACTAAAACGCAAGAAACAAAAACTAATGATTCTTTAGGTGGAGATGAAATGATGGCTTCGCTCGAATCTAATGCGTCCGTAAGCTTAACAAGCGATATTGAAGTTAAAGGTGTCGGTAATCAAGGTAGAATTACATCATTGATACATTTTAATAATTTTGATATTTCGTTTAATTTAAAATTTGTTAAATGACTGATAGCGCAAGCATCAAAAAATTGGACGTCGGAACAACGTTTACAATTAATTGAAGCTGTTCTTAAAAAGATTAATATACCTTGGGACGAAGTCTGTAACGAAGTTGATGGGGGGAGAAGTGGAAAGAGGTGTTACGATCAATGGAGAAGACAAATTGTACCAGGTTTAAAAAACTCGATCAAATTTCAGAAAAATAGCAGTAGATAAAGAAATTTAATTCGTTATCCATTGATTAATTATGTAAAAACGAGAAGTTTATTTGCCCTTAAATACAAATTTATTGATTCTCACAACTACCATTTACATCATCTACTTCTAATTTTTCACCATCTTTCAAATTGCCTATTTTTTCCAAAATCTCATCGTCATCGATCATCGTAGGTTGAGGAGCTTGACCGGATTGTTCTAATGTTTTAACAGAAGGTAATTTAGTAATCATTTGTAATTTTCTAGAGACGTCAGGATCACTACCAGTGCCAAGTCCAAGCCTCATCAAGGCCATAATGTAACCTTGTTCGGCGGATTTCTTATACCATTGAAGAGCTTTCGTTTCATCTTTTTTCACGCCTAATGAACCCACTTCATATAATTCTCCCAAGACGAATTGTGCTTGAAAATTATTATATTTTGCGGCTGTAATGTACCATTTTAAAGCTTTTCCTTCATCAACTTCCACACCATGACCATCTCGATACATATCACCAAGCGTAACTTGAGCCGTTAAATAATTATTTTCTGAAGATTTCGTAAACCAATACAAAGCCTTCTCTGGGTCCTTCTCTTTATCTCCAAAGCCCTTTTCATATAAACATGCAAGGCAATATTGCGATTCCCCGACATAATCTATGGAAGAATCCGTTCCCTCACGTTCGGCAACTTTTGAGAACCATTCAATAGCTTTTTCGTAATTCTTTTCAACTCCTAATCCACGTTCGTAAGCTTTAGCTAATAAAATTTGTGCTCGTACGAATCCATGTTCAGCTGCTACCTGGAATAACTTTACAGCTTCAGCTTCATTCTTTTCTACTCCTTCACCGTTGAATAAAAGCAATCCGAGGTTAATTTTCGCATTGATATCGTTTGAGTCAGATGCTTTCCTAAAATATTTCACAGATTCATGTAAACTTTTGGGAACGCCTATTCCCTTTTGATTTAATATTCCTAAAATATTTCCCGACACACTATCTCCAAATTGATTATTCGCTTTTTTAAATAATTTAACCGATTCTCTGAGATTCTGAGGTACACCTTCTCCAACCAAATGCATTATTGCTAAATTTCTCATTGCAATACCATTTCCTTTCTCTGAAGCTTTTTTATAATGGTCGAATGCTTTTTGTGGATCATATATAGAACTGTGCTCTTTAGAATAAATAAATCCAAGACAAAGATCTCCTTCAAAAGAACCTTGTTCTGAAACCTTTTGAAACAATTCGATCGCTTTGATATCGCTTTGCTCAATTTTTGATTCAATACATTTTGCATACAAGAGACCTAAAATTATTTGAGCATTGAAAACTCCAAGTTCTGCAAGTTCTTTAAGATCTTCTTCATTTCCTGCAGTATATTTCTTTGGGACATCATCGTCATTCGATTTTTTGAAGAATATTTCGTAAGTTCCAAGTTTCAATTCGAAATTTTTGATTAAATTTACGATCTCATCATCTTTAATCCATTCTAACAAATTCTTTATTTTAGAATTTTTGGTCTTTGATCTACCACAAATAAATTGAATTGAATTATCATCAACTGAAGAAAGTTTGATGGATTTGATCGTGATCGTCTTTGCAACATCGTTGGTAAATCTTTGTAAATCTATCGGAATGGAAGCGAGAGTAAAATTTGGTAAAAGATCGTTGGAAATGATTTGTGTACTATAAAACGACGCTAGTGTCTTCGAAATTGGAACATTAGACGTAAGTCGAGACATTTTTTTTTATTATTTTATTTTATTTTATTTTATTTATTTTTTTTTTTTTCGAACGGATTATCGCAAAGAGAAAATTTTCGGCAGGAAAATTTCTCTAACAATTCTAACAATACAATTGCTTCGATTTGTTATATAAAGATGCATATCCTATTACGCCAAACTTAAAATAGATATTATCAAAGACCATGGAGATCAGCAGTTCTTTGTTTTTTTGCATAAATTACCCATCTATTGGGAGGTGGACGTTTCACAAGCAAAATAGTCTATATTGAAAGCAAAAAGGCAAGGTATATTGAAATTCAAATCTGGAAAGAATTAATTATCTTATCGTTAATAATCTGCAACCTAATCTAAACATCTATGTTCTCGATATTCTAGATAATTTTTTTTAAAAAAAAAATCCATTTATAAAAATGGTGCTTTATCATGTTTTCCTAAGAGAAAAATTTTTCATTCAGTTAAGTTGTAAACAAGGAAGAAAAAAAAAAAATAAAAAAAAAATAAAATTCCCAACGAATTATTGCATCAACAATTTCGATAAGATTATCAAAGGAAAACGATGAAAATTAATTGCTGGTAGTGGTTCCATATATGCGATTAAATGGTAAAAAACAAAAAAAGCAATTTATCAATATTTACCTTTATTCGGTGGCACTTTTTTTTAATAACTGGAAAAGGTTTCGATTTAGGAAATAATCTCATACACAATGACCGATTTTTTACTAATGGTAAATTACTTACCAATTTTATATTATCTTGAGTACAAATTATCTATCTGCATAAATATTTGTAAAATGACAATCATGAAAATCACTATAAATAAAAAGTACAAATTTTTTTTTATCGGAAATTTTCAATAAATTTTCATCTGATATATATATTAAATATATAGAATTATAAATTTTTCTTAATACAAAGAAATGGCAAATTATAAAGGAGTTATTTCAACAATAATAACGTTCAATACGAGAGTATCAAACTCTATATCATCATTAACGAGAAATTTTAGTAATTCTTCAATATTAAAATCACGAGAATATTATTTAGCAAGATCAAAAGAGGCGGTAAATTATCGATTACATTTAGCTAAATCAAGGCATCTGGTGGGAATTAGGACAACGAGAGGAACAAGAGAATTTAACGAAGATCGATATCAAGCAATGGTTTTGGAGTTATCTGAAGATAAAACAGTACGAGACGACGGGATCGTTAATCAACAGATTTTAGATGAAAAGAATCTAGAGAATGAAGAAGTGGAAGGAAAAGTTGGTCAAATTTGTTATTTCGCTTTATTTGATGGGTAAGTCAATTAAAAAAAATTCGATTGATTTGTTCAGTTTTATTTGATATCAAAAGAGTTTCTTGAATTTGACATCAAATAGTCACGGAGGTGCTCAATGCGCAGATTATCTAACCGCCAAATTACATAAACAAATTGAAACTGTTGAAGCCTCCGATGCTGATGGCATTGTCACGGAATTGCGAAACATTGGAGGGTAAGCTAAAAGAAAAGAAATAGATCAAATTTGAATTTTCAAAAATTTGATTCTTACAATGTTACCTTTTTTTTTCATTAGTTATTTTCGAAGATTTAAACCATCAATATTGGAAAATTTATTAAGCCCTAAAGTTGCCGACGTTACTCTTAAAAAGAGGCCAAATAATCAAAAATCGGGTCGAGAGGTTTTGAGAAAATTCCCTTCCTCAATACCATCACCAAATTCAACCCAAACGATACCGCTTCAAACCACTCCTACCGTTACAACCCAACCACTTTCATCACCTTCCACCTCACTTACATTGGAACAAAGATTAACGCTAGCATATTTAAAATCTGACATTGAATTTTTGAATATAGTAGAATATAATTCTATAGGATCGACAGCATCAGCTGCATTAATAAAATCGTTAGACAAACGTCCATTTTGGACAAGCAATGACATTGAAATTACAATAGCGCATGTTGGTGATACGAGAATACTTCTTTGTGATGCGGAAAATGGTAATTCCATACAATTAACATTTGATCATCATCCAGCTTCAATTACAGAAATCGAAAGGTTAAGCAAATCTGGTGGCTTTATTATAACGGATTCTTTTGGTGCTGAAATGTATTTAGGTAGATTAGCCAATACAAGATCTTTAGGTGATGCTAAAATGAAAAGGTTTGGTATTACTGCTGAACCAGAAATTTCTAATCATCATATGGTTGGAAAAAAATTTGCTTTTATGGTTTTGGTTTCTGATGGGATCACTTCTGTATTAAGTAATCAAGAGATTGTTGACTATGTGAGTGATTTGGCTAATTTGCAATCTTTTTTTTTTTTCCTTTCTTTTTAATTTTTTTTTTTTTTTTGATTTTCTTTTTAGTTGAAAGATTGCGATAATCCTACCATAGGAGCATCAAAATTAGTTGATTTTGCTGATGAGCTTGGATCTAATGATAATATGACGGCAATGGTATAATTTCATTTAAAAGAACGCCTTGTAAATTTTTGATAAAAATTTTAATAATTACTGTTAATATTTTAGGTTGTAAGATTACCGGGCTGGGGAACATCAATGCCCGATCATACAAAAGAATTAAGGAAATACCGACTCGATCAAAATATTACAAGTCGTCGTAGATGATTTAAATAAATTAATAAAAATGGAAAATCCCAAAAAGATCAAAGATCATTTTATTGTAGCACACATAAATATAAAAATTTCGCACCATATCACGTAACAATTTTTTTTGCAAAAGGCCAAATACATTTCAAATCAATTTTTAGATGTGATACTTACGAGAATACTCTGTCCCCGCTTTCATTCGATTTTCTAAAATTCTCAACTGTTTTAAAAGAGAAGTCCACAATATGAGATATTAGATTTCAACATATATGTTTGTTAATTTTTTGTTTTTTTGTTTCTTACCAAAACCGCTTAACAGTTTTCTTTAAAACTTTTGATTAACATTTTTGCGAAAATAAAAAAATTGCACCATTAGCATTCAACGATTTATTAAAAGTAGAAGAATTACGAATTTTTTTTTTAAATTATAAGAAGATATTAAAATGTTCTAAACAATAAAGCAAAGCACATTAGTTAGTTTTGTCAACAAATACTTTCAGTATCCAACTTAATTATTATCAGAGTTTTTATATCGAGTTAAACTTCTCGTGTTTAATTTATGTCAATTATAGAAACAAAGGTATTTAATACTCCACAATTATCATTCGTATATACTGTTTTTAAAACTAACTATTTAGATAATTTGATAAGTTGTTGAATAAAAATCCTTTATATTTTTTTTTTTAGGTTTTTGATATAAAAATCAAACGACGAGTCGCCGTGCTAACTTAGAAAAGTATTGGACATATGAATTCCAAGCATGGACCCACATTTACTTGGTAGAGCCAATCAGCGACACAACTTCAGCGAATTATAATGCACAGACAGTAAGAGCTTTTGCTGGTGCTTTTCTCTTTGATGAATATGTTTATGTATTTGTGGTAATGCTATATTTTCGTTATTTAACAGTATAAACAGAATATTCATACGTATCTTTAAATATCAAATCTCGTTTATAATATAATGTTATAAAAATCTTGTAATTTATTATTTATTAAGTTTCAAATATTCGAAAGATTTTTAAAACGAATATCGAAATTAAAAAAATTTTATCACCTGATGCCTTTACCGTAATATAAGTATTTTTTTCTTTCTTTCTCTCGCTCTCTTTCTCTTTTTTTTTTTAGGGAAATCGGAATATTGGTACTCTCTCTATTGGGTAAGTTTCGCGAAGGAATCTTTTCAAAAAAATAATTTTTAATTTTTCGACATTAACTCAAGAGTTGGTATATGTGATCTGCTCTAACAAGAACCTCAAGCAATAAATCACGAAGTCTCGTTCCATAAACTTCATGCGGATGGCAGTTGCCGCTACCATTCTTCAAGGAATGATAATGAATTTCATTTATTTCATTTATGAATTAACACAAGTTCTAAAGTTGACAAACTATTAAACAAACTGAGACACGTGGTTACTGATGCAAGGTGATGACTAACCCGTGAATTTTTATCATTGTGCAGTGATATTAAATCAACTCGAACATGTCGCGAAATCGTGGCAGCCTCACGATGTCACATTTAACAATATTGCAAGTTCTCCTATATTTATTATGCGATAAACGAAGCAAAACATCTGGGTAATAAGCAGTATATGCATAAAGTAACATATGGGACCTTTACAATGGAAAGGGGAAACGGCTGGAAAAAATAAAAAATGAGTTAATGCTAAGTCTGAACAAATTTTGACCTCCTCATATTTGGCATATAAAAGTAAATTTGAGTTTTTCTGGCAGTTTCCCCCTTTCTATTGCAAAGGTCCCATATATCAAGATGATTGAAAAGATCTGTTCTGTACACAGTAGGGTATATTATAATCGAAAGATCTGACAACGGTAAAATAAATTTTCTTTATATTTCGCTTTTTAAATAATAATGCGTCGGTATCATCATTATGCAAAAAGTACTGATCAAGACTATTTTTTCGCAATAGTCCAAGCAATAGCGTAATTATAATTTCTAATTTTTATTATTATATTTATCTAGTTTATCATTTATATCTTATTTTATTAGTAGTATTTTATTTTGTATAAATATCTTGTATTTTACCTGGAGTTGAAAGATAACTCGATATAAGGTTTTAGCCAAGAGTTCAATAAAGGAATCTTATCAATACATTTGCTATTACCTTTTGTCATGTCTGTCTTCACATAGGCGTGATTGTGAATAAAGTATTTCGACGTATTGAATTAAAAGTGAATACCCAGCCAACATCGGACAGAAAAGGAGACTGGAACATGAACATTCATGATTAAGTACAAGAAGTGTCACAAAATTTATGGAACGAAATGACATTTTACGGATAAATATATGGGAGGTTTGCTATTAAATCGAGTTACGAATATAGAAAATAATATGATCCTTTTAATATGCACACCTTCCATATGTTCCTGCATCAGCTACGAAAGCACCAAAACCCACAAAATAAAAACTTAGTTTAATTAAAAATTCTTGCTAGAGGTGTAGGTGTTATATTATCTGGAAGATTCTCCGAACTATAATATCTACGAAGTATTTAGAACTGTAGATGAAAATGTAAATATATTACGAAGGTTTAAGCATAACACGGAGTTTTTTTGCATCAAAACTTTTCCTGATGTGAATTTAGATGCTTATAAATTTCCTTATTTGGATCGTAATGGGGTATAATTATTTATTACCAAATGACGATTACGGAAAATCATGATATTAAGGAAATATTTCACACAATTTGTTTGTTTAGATTATATTCATATTATGGGTGATTTACATCAAGAATAGAGAAGTTTTAATGAACAGTAAACTAATAGTTCATTTATTTTTGTGTTGTTTCATATATTTGAAGTAGAGATATGTTGCAGCGGGTAGGTTTTGCTACATTTATATTTCTCTACTTTCGAAACCACAATTCATTAATGAAGCAGATTATCATGAACCAAGTAGCTTTTATCAATTTCTGATAAGCTTAGTGATTTCATTATATTGTGAACATTCTATTACATAATACACTTGATAAAAGATTTAAAAGCATAGAAAGTTCTTGTGATGACAGGTCCTATCCGAAAAGGTTTTCGCATCTTCATCAGAACGGCTTGATGTATCTTATTTCATAAGATGCGGTAATTCAGTTATAGGTTGATTCTTTGATCACTAAACGTCCGATGGTAGTTAATTCTACGATTGAAAGTCTTGTAATTATTAATGCTCATGTAATACCATCAAGTCCTGGCTTTTGACTCTTCTCCATCAGGTCAATTTCAACACAAAAGCAACAAACACTTCCTATTTGTTACATCAAGAACTATGTCCTTATGTTCTAAGCGATGCTAAAATTCTGTTCTGTACCAGTCAAAATTATTCGCATATCAAGTGTTGCAAAAACTTTGTATGTGATGACTATACCAACCGATTACTACAAAGTTATTGGTTTAGTTGAAGAAAGAGTATTTCTGGAAGTATGTCATGATAAGGTTTATCAAAGGAAAATTTGCAGATGCACCTACTCAATTCGTTTAACGGATTATGATGCGATATTTACACTGCACACATAGGTATCCATCAAATTCCACAACAGGAGATAACTTATCGAAGATATAATAAATTATAGCCGTGATTCCACGTACAAATGCCACCCTATAGGCAAAGACATTTCCTAATAACATGCTAATTTTATATACCAATATTTAGTTTCATAAGTTCATAAAAAGTGATGATTGAAAGGTTGGTTTATTTTCCAAATGACAATAAATAAACCAAATTTACTTTTTTTTTATATGAATTAATAATTATCAATTAATAATATAATATTGAAAGAAAAAAAATTAATTTCATTTTTCAATTTATATTTTTTTTGAAATCCAAAGAGCGTCTTAGTAACTATTATATCGTGACTTCTACGGCAATGAAATCCAAAAAGGGAACGATAATTGGTATTGTCAGCTCAAAAAAAAAGTTTATCCCTGATATTCAAAAATACCAGAATTATCGGACTTGCGGATAAAACTCATAAAAGTGAAACAATTAACTTGTCTTTTGTTTTAATCTCTTGCGGGGCATAATGAATAAGCGTGAACTGTTTTATTTTTTCGTTCCTTTTGTTCTGCAAATTTTTTCCCTTAATCGAAATCCTAGAAATGGCTCCATTCAACAATTTTTTTTATAGGAGGTTGAAAGTCTGTAGGCTGGAGTAATCAAATTGATAGAGTAAAGACTATGTAGGCGGGATGATAAATATAAATTAGATACTACATCATTTTATTTAATACTGGTAAAATTAAGTTTTGAAACATAAAGTTTCACTATTATGGAGAAAACGAGTCTGATGCTTATCAATGATTACCAGTAGTATTATGTAGCCATTTTTACTTTGAAAATAACTTTCGGCAAACAAAACCTTACTAGAAATTTATTCCTAAAGTAATCCGAAACTCCTTTATTACAATATTATTGTTTGAATTTTCGACCTTCAAGATAAGTTTTATTGTCAAATTATTAATTCTTAAAATTAAAATGCATACTTCAGATAGTTACCGCAGTATCTGATCACGTTATCATGAATGATTTGTATCACTGCAATGCATTTTCCGTTTTATATCCTGATTTTAAATAAGCAATTTTAAAAAATTACCCATATAAATTTTTTTTTTAAAAAAAATAAAAAATAAAAAATGGATGCAGATAGCCATGAAAATGAAACTCAATTTGATAAATTAAATGCTTCAGATACGAAATGTTATTGCGGTAAACCATTTGCCGAGAATTATGGTGTAAAGAATGTGATCCTTGGTGTATGATTGAAGATGGGCTAGTGGAAATTCTGAAATTGATAAATTTATAAAAGAAACAATATATAAAGCTAGACATGAAAAATATCCAAGAATTCTTGAATGGGTGCTTTTTGATAGATTCACAGATATAAAAGAAATTGGTGAAGGAGGATTTGCCAAAGTGTATTTTGCAACATGGATCGATGGTCAATCGGAATTTTATAAACATGATGACGGAAGTTGGAAAAAGTATGTTCGTGAACCTATGAAGGTTGCTTTGAAAAGGTTGAATGAATCACAGGATATGTCCGTTAAATATTTTAGTGAGATATATCACATTTATATTTGATATAAATTAATAAGAACATTTTTTCTAATTGCCATTAAATTTTTATTACAAAAACTAGCTTAAAGCTCATTGGAATTTTCATAAAGTATATCCTTCTACGTTATACTTTTATGGGATAACTAAGGATCCAGTAACCAAAGATTTTATTATGATCGTACAATTTGCATCTAATGGAAATTTGAAAAGTTATCTTTCAAATAATTTTAACGACATTTTATGGAAAAATAAAATTGGAAAATTACATGATTTAATTATTGATCTTTATAATTTACATAGTTTAGAATATTTTCATAAGGATTTTCATAGTGGAAATATCTTACAAGTTAGAGATAATTCTTATATTTCAGATTTTGGATTATCAGGACCAGTAGATAAACAAAAATCAGATGATAAAATATATGGAGTATTACCATATATCGCACCAGAAGTTTTGAATGGAGGATTATATACTAAATCTTCTGATATTTACAGTTTTGGTATAATTATGGCTGAATTATCATCCGGAAATCCTCCATTTTATAATAGGAAGCATGATTATAAATTATCTTTAAATATTTGTAATGGAATTCGTCCAGAATTTGGAAATGGGACTCCTGAGTTTTATAAGATATTGGCTTATAAATGTATGAATGCAAATCCATATCAAAGACCAATAACCAAAGAATTATATGATACAATAAATTTTTGGTATAATTCTATTTTTCAATGAGAGGTATAAAGATAAAAAAAAATATGAATATTATGAAAAAGAAATAAAGAAAGCATTTGAAAAGGCAGATAAAGAGATACCAAATATTTCAATTTCAAGGAAAATGAATCCTGATGCTATATATACAAGTAGAGCATTTTCATTTAAAAATTTAATAAAGCCTATTAATTCATCTTTTATCATCTCATATCTTGAAAAGGATGAGAATAATAAAAGTATTATACACTTGGCTTTTTTATTTTTGATAAAAATTATTAATTTCAATGTATTTTAACAGACTTTCAAGATTCTCAATTAATTGAATTAGACATTTCTAATTTATTACAATTAAAAGGTAATATATATTATTAAAATTTATGATTGCAATTTAATAATTTAAACAGAAATAATATTGATTTTTATATATAATAATAGATATCAATAATTGAATATTAGATTTTAATATTTTAGAATATCATTTATATATTTAAACTTAAAGATTAAGTAAAGTTAATATAAATCATTTCTAAATATAAAATTCTTATAAATATATATAATGTTATTAATAACTAATTTTTTATAAATAAATATAAAAATAATTAACTTTTGTAAAATAAAATAATTTAATTAAATTATTTTAATAAAATATAATCAAAAATTAAGAATATACAGTCAATTCTTAATATAACGAACTCTTATATAATAAATTTTGAATAAATATAATAAAAATTCTCTTGTTTATTCAAAATTTCTTCATGAAAAACTACCGCAGTATATCAAATTAGCCAATCAAATTTTTTAAAATCTTCGCTATAGTCTTTTAATAAAGTTGAGGCCTAAGATGTAAAGTTTATTATAACAAGAATTGACTGTATCTAGTTTTCAAAATTTATATTTTAAATTTGATGAATATATTATATCTTAAATTATGATCTACTTTAATTTTAAATTGAAATAGATCTATTTTATACAAAATCAAAATTTTAATTTTGAGCAATTCAAATTTAAAATTTCAAAATAAGATATTTTAAATTTAATGTTCAAACTTAATCATAATAAATCATATACTTTAATTTGATGATCAATTGTGATTTTTTATGTTCAATAATATTATACTTTAACTAAATTTTAATTTTTTAATTTTTACCTTAAGTCTTCTTTTCATTTAAAGTAAAATTTATCTTTTTTTATATTATTATAGAAGAGAAATTTTCTTTTATAAGCAAAGAAACTTTTAATAAAATTATTAATAAATTGTTTTAAAATAATAAATCAAAAACTGAAAAGTAACTGATAAATAAAAGTTTATATGATGTTATAAAAACAGTTTTCTTAAAAGATAATTCAAAATTACACAATGCAGATTTTTTGATATTGGTGTAAAAAATTAAAGTTTGTTAAAAGTTAGAAAATATATTATATATAAAAATATAATTTTGAATATCTCTGATTTAACTTACAAATAATATATAGTAAAATGCATTTTTTATAATAACTTGATTAATATTAATACTAAAAATATAATTTTACTTCTCTCATCAAAACAATTCTAATGAATTCAAGCTCATTTAAATTCAATCAATAGTTAGCTTAAAATCAGAATATGTAAAATAATGAATTTTAAAAGTTCTAATATATTATATAATTCTAATTAGAATTTATATATAACTTTATTCAAGCTTTAATCTGAATTATATAAGAAATTTCAAAATCTATAAAAATCTTAATAATAGAACAAAAGAAGCTTTAATTAAAGAAAGTAAAATAATTGAGATATTATCAATATCAATTGTAAAAAAAATGAATTAAATAATTAGTTTAGAATATATTTAAAGCTTTCATTATAGTTAAAAAATCTTGTATAGCAAATTAAAATTAAATAGTTTAGAGTAAAAAAAAATTGTAGAAAAATTTATAAATTATTATAAAATATATGTTTTACGTAAAACTATATCTAAATTTACTTTATCAATAAATCTATAATTATAAAAAGATTTCTTTTAAAATTATAAGTATTTGAATTATAATAGCTTTTTTAATTAATATATTTGCTTATTATTTAAATTTAATTTATAATTTTATTAAATAAATTTAATTGATTTATTCTAATGTTTTGATAATGATTTTAAATATATTTTACATATAAAAGACTATTTTTTATGATATTTATAAATAAAACTATTAATTTTAAAGAATTTATAGTTATTACAAGAATATTATATAAAATTGTTTGTCATTTTAATCTTTCAATTATTTATAAAGTAATAATGGCAAAAAGCTTACTGTTAATATTATTAATAATTATATCTTAGTTTAAAAATAATAAATAATAGGCCTAGATATTCATAATTATAAGGTTTAATTGAAAGAAAAAATTCTATTCTAAAGAAAATAATTAAAACAAAATTATTTAACAAATTAGACTTAATGTTTAAATTATATTTTTTTTATTATAAATAATATTATATATTAAGTTATTAATAAAATACTATATGAAATAGTATTTAGAATATATCCTTATAATGATAAAATATGAATAAAATATTTATTTAAAGATAAAAATTATATTAATAAAGAATAATTATCAGATAATATTAATATTAAATAAAAAATATTTCATATAATTTTAATCAAGTAAGTATAATAAATATTTTATAAATTTAAAATTTATTTTAAATTTATATAGAAAGAAGATAATAAATCTAATGATAAATTTAAAAGATTATTGATAAAAATATTATAGTAAATATAAATAAGATATAATTAAGGTAACTAAATAAAATCTAAAGGTTTGCAAGTTATCTAAATAGAAAAAGGTAAAATTTAGCGAAATTATATTAAAATCTTATTAAAAAATCTGTAAAATTCTGAAAAGGTAAACTATATCAAAGCTTATAAAAATGCGAAACTATATTAAAATCCTAGTAAAATTTAGTAAAACTATAGTTTAGACATTTTGTCAAATTTAAAATGAGTTTAGATAAGTAATCTTAAATATAATCAACTAAAAATTTTAAAATAAAGGCAAATAAAAATAAGAAAGTTTAGATATTTCATTTAATTCAAATTCTGATAATAATAATGAAATTAATACTACAAAAAAAAAGATAATAAATTAATTTTAATTTTATATATTATTATTTAAATTATTTATTTTAATATATATTCTTAAATTTAAATATTAAAGTAACTAAAAATTAAAAAAATACTTAAAGCTGATTTCAATATATTATTTGAATTAAAATAAGTTCAAATTAAATATTTTTTAGGATAAATTAAATTATTATAGAAAGGTTTATTTTGATATAATAAAAACTTAAACTAGATGTACTTAAAAAAGAAATTCAAATGACTTTATATGATTTAGAAAATTACATATTATAAAATAATTTGATGATAAATTAAAATAATAATTTACAAGTAAGTTTAATTAATAATTTATTTTTTTATAATATAAATTAATTAATTAATATTTTAGATTGATTCTTCAAAATTTATATCAAATAATAAAACTGAATCAAACATTTGATAATGAAGATTAAAGATAAGTGTCACAATTAAAAAAATAACATAATTGAGTTGCAACTTATAACAAATTAATATTCTTATAGTATAATTAAGTTACAACTAAGGTTACTAGATAAAACCTAGAGGTTTTGCAAGTCGTCTAAATGGAAAATGATAAAATTTAGCGAAATTATATTAAAATCTTATTAAAAAATCTGCAAAATTCTGAAAAGGTAAAACTATATCAAAGCTTATAAAAATGCGAAACTATATTAAAACCTTAGTAAAAAATTAGTAAAACTATAGTTTAATATTTTGTTAAATCCAAAATGAGTTTAAACAAGCAATCTTAATTGTAATTTAATTAAAATTTAAAAATAATTATAGGATCATATTTAATAAAGATAATTTATTATTTGATAATGAAAATAATTTATCATCTGCTAATGAATTTATTAATTTATTTAATAATGATGAATTTTTTTCTTCTTATTATCAAATATGTAATAATATAATAATATCAACAATATAAAAAAAATATGAAAAATTTAATAGAAAAAAATTAAAAAAGAGCCCATATAAAATTGAAATTGTTAATTTAAAAGTTTCAAAATTAAATAAAGCAAAATTAAAGATTTTTATAAATTATGATATTCTAAAGGCAAATTAAATATAAATTATTAAGGAAAAAATTTAGAATTAACTAAATTAGAATTAATGACTGAATTAATAGATATTTCTAATAAAACAGTAATAGTTACAAAAGTAGTTAATTACAAAATAATACTTTAAATAAAAAGTTAATTAAATGCAAATATTCTAATATTTGTAATACAATAAAATGTTCTTGTAAAAAAAGAAAATTTAGCTTGTAATGATAAATGCCATTCTGATAAGAATATCAAAATCCTGAAATTTATTTTTTATAATAGTAAAAAGAATAATGAATAATAATTAATTTCAAAAATAGCTTTTATATTTTAATTAAATACAATTGATCCTTTTTATAGTCATATTTATATATAATCCCACCTCCTTTATAAGCATACTTAAATTAGCCTATATTACTAAACTTATTAAAGAAACCTCTCTTTAGTTACATTATATAGTATTTTTATAATCATATTATTTTTTTAGTCTTAAGAGGTGTAACTATAGAGAGTGTTAACCATATTAAATAAAGAAAATTACTTTCTAACAAATTTGCATAAAATATTATTTTAATTATTTAGTAAATAATAACAATAATTTTATTTATAAAGTAAAAAATATTATATAACTAGTAAATAATTAAATAATTTTAAAAATAAATTTCATTATTTTTAATTTAAATTAAATTTATTGAATACAAAATATTAATTTTTTAATTTATACAACTAAAAAAAATACCATTTGATTTTATAATTTTAAAATTAAAATTATATAAATGATTAAATTAGAGAAATGGTCGACTTGAAACATCACGTTTTACCTCAATTTTAAATTTGGGCAATAGTACAAATGACAGTATATTCGTCTGGTGCAAATATTAGATAAACAGAGAATCCTGCCATTGTGTAGATGTTGATAATCTTTTGATACAATTTGATATGACGGTAAGGACTAAGTCCAAGGGTTTATGGGTATCTGAAGAATCAAAATAATTATAAAACGCTCATCTACGGTCTATTATATCAGTTCTAATCTAGAAAAATCCGAAGTATTGCCATTACTCTCCAACTATTGGTCACTATGGAGAAAACCATTTGATATTATAGCTACCGAAGTTAGATATTTCTTCAATACTTGAATATGTTTTAATGCAATTGTTGCACTTTCGCAGATCGCCAAATATATTGAATAGGAAATTCAAATTGAATTACAAATATTCAAAAGTTTTTTAGAAAAATATCAAACGAATTTCAAACATGTCGGAATGGACTATGATATTGAAATAATTATATACTCAATCATTTTCGATATTTGCGATATTTGAATTAAAAATTTGTAATTTTATTTATTAGCTAACGTATATTCGAAAATCCCATTTTCAACCAAAATTCCTATGATGAAGTTATTTCAACTATGACAGTCAAGTAAGAATTCAAAGCATGTAAGAATTACAAAGTAAAAAAAAAAAAGAATGATGATTAACTTCGCAGCTCCATGCTTGACGGTTTTTTGTGCGTTTGGTGTTCATTAGTGTTGTTTCCATCATTTAAGTTCTTTTGCCCAAATCGTCTTCCACAACTTTTCGAGACTTTCAGTCTTCAGCAATTACAAGTTCAAATGACATGCATTGGTGTGGGCTGGAAGAGGAAATTAATAATGACAAGAGCTATTTTAACACTTAATGTTATACAAGATGTCCGCTTTTTCACAATATTTGAGATTCGCGGCAGTTGCTTGTATTCAGGGTATCAGAAGTTTTATCGGAATTGCCCAAAACTGTCTATCATACCTTAAAATAGGTGAATTTAATACTAAATAGTTGCACTTACCTTCAGAAAAATTGGTTGCTGCCTTTCTTTTGTGTTACTTCTTTCTAGAATTTAAAGTTGAAATTTGGACTTCGTAAATTAATGTATTAGACACGGAATGAACGTCCGTATAATTAAAGGGAAACGAAATTTAGTTGAAATTCAAATTTTAGATGGTAAGTATTGAACGAGTATTCATGTTCAATAAATTATTGTTGAATTGAGCCAATAGAATTGATCAACATGATCATAATGACATGTGACCTTCCGTCATAACAAACCAACTTCCCACGGAACTGAAAGTTTTAACACCGAAAGTATTTAAGTCCATTTTTCTTATTTACTTGTCGAATCAAAGTCTTATACTTTTTTTTAAAATAAAATAAAATAAAATAAACGAAGACTATCTACTGAAGGTTTCCGAGTTATTCTATTCTTTTTTTTTTGTCGTCTTTACCTGTCTTAAAAATACATGCGAGCAATCGACAAAGTCTATAACGCATAGTAAATTTATTACAATCAAATAAAAAAAACAACATTAGGATTTAACTATTTTGGACATAACATATTATACTCCGACAAAGAAGCGTTTTTCTTGTAGCCAAATAATCTGGTTTCCAGTCTATCCAGCTTTATTTCCTATGGAGACATTGTCAAAAGCGGGTAATGATAGACTACTGGCCTTTGAAGTTTAACTTTGGAGGTCATTATACCGAGTTATCGGGTGTTTGCCCGCGGCGTTATAATAAACGGTTTCTGGTGTTATTAAATCATTTATGGTATGATTATTATGTATGGAATGTATAGTTCCAATCATTTATGTATGGTTTTTCCATACCGGTATGATCATTCGCAGCAAAAACCATACCGGTATTGAATATTTATATATTTAAAATTATTTTAATTTCATCGTCAGATACAATTCCAATATCTTAATAAATGATCAGAACAGAATGTCAATAATTAAACACACACAAAGAAAAACAATAAGTCGCGTTGGTAGTTTTTTTGAGGTGTTAAGAAAATTTATAAAATAGTAACTTAATAAAATTAAAATTTTTGCATTTATCAAATAGAAGAATTTAATTAATCGAATTAAAATTTTAAAAACTTTATTATTCGGTTAATTACTTTTTAATAGATAAAATTTGAACGTTTGTTTATTTTTGATGCAAAGCTATTTTGTATAAAATTTCCGAAATTTTAGAAAATCTATACATGTATGAAATATTTGTTTTTACAAACAAACCATACATTTCATACCATAAATGATTGCTATATACCCATGTTTTCCTGTGAAGAAAATTATTAAAGCGGGTGAGGTGGTCTTTGAAGTCTAACTTTGAAGGTCATTATATTGAAAATTTAAGAGCTTCATTTTAACTTGCCTGTTGTTTTTGATATACTGATTATCAAGGCTTTATTTTATGTTTTCCTGTGGATTTATAATTTTGATATACTGGAGTATCCTTTTTAATATTTGGTTATCATCAACACGAATTATTGTTGCTGATCATTGACGTTCTGATAATCTATCAAAAAATTTTTTTGACCTGGACAAGGCTTGCCATTTCTACGTGGTGTCTGGGAGAAACAGTTATAGGTTAAACTAAATATGGTGAAGTGCAAGCATATCGCGATCTTAAATTAATTCGTTGGATTTTTTGGATTTTTCTTTAAAAAAATTGTACATGCTCTAATTAATATCGTTATTTCATAGGATACATTTTACGTAAGAGAATAGAAATGGCTCTACGTTTGATCCCGAAAAACTAAAGATTTAAAGGAATTGTATGTAGATTCTACATCATTATTCAATTTGCGGCGAAACTAAATACTGTGACGAAGGATTTTCATGGTTGTTGATGTTGTGGATACTACTATCCTTACTTTCAAAAAAATATAGTTTTCTTCTTGCATTGTGACGGAGTTGCAATTTAAAATGTATAATCGCAATGAGACTTGAAGAACAATTCCGAGCAGAGGAAGTAAAGATTTGTTCGACCACTTTTGCTACATATAAATTTAAGCCTCGAAACTCTAATTGAGAATTTTGTAACATTCGAAAAGAAATCATAACTAAAAGATTACAAAGCATCGAACATTCCAATTTCTTCTAATTCCCAATGAAAATTTAATTACAACTTCTATTTGTAATTTTTTTTTTTATTGTTTTTGTTTGTTAAATGATTTTCTTGATAAATTATTTTAAATCAAATTTATCAAATTTTGGAAATACAGTATACCGAAAAGATCATCTTTAATTCGGATATCTCATAATTCGGAATTTCGGGTCAATTATATGTATGCTTGTTCACTAACCTTGAAAATTTTCTAATCCTATCCTAAGAAAGGAAAAAAAAATACCACCCTTTTTCAATATGTAATTCAAAAATGTAATTTTATTTTTACAATTTGAAATTAATTTTATACAACCAAAAATAAAATAAAATAAATAAAAAAATAAATCCTGAATAAAATCTATATAACTTAAACTTAAGATGTAAACTACCTTAGTTGAAAATGCACTTAGTTTTCTTTTAACGAAACTTAAATTTCCAAGTAAAAGAATATAAATATGAATTAAACACAACATTAAGAAAATTATTCTAAATCTATTGATAATTTTTAGTAATTATTACGTTGCAAACAAAATGTTCGCAGAGAAATGTACTTAATAAATTTTATTATCTCGATTTCATATAAATTAACTTTATTTTGTAATTGTTAATTTGTAAAAAAAATTTTTTTATAATAACTTGCTGCATATTATAATAATTTTTCTTTTGTTGGTGAGGTTAATAAAAAATGCATTAAAGAATATGATTGTCAAATAAGTTATGATTTCATATCTTCCATCTCTACATATTCTTCTAGAAAATATTTATGTCGATTTTCGTTCAAGAAACTAATAATTATAAAAAAAAAATATTAATAAATAATAATTTTCTTCATAACATGAATATAAAGGTGAAAAATATTACTTTAAGAAATCTGATAAATGCAATTTCAAAGCATTCAAAGTCTCTTGGCTAAGAGATGAATCTGATATTATTTGTGGAAAAGGAACTACAAAATGAATTAATAGTTAATATAGAATAATATATTATAATATAGTGAATTAAATCATACCGAATAATCGAAGTAAATGCTCAGCACCAAAAATCTGAGAGTTATCCAAATACTCGAATTTTAGTCTTGTGACTCTATATTGTTTTCTTTCCCCCTTATAAAGCAAACGTACACCTAAGCATTTATTAAAATAAAAATGCAAACCGCTGATAATTTCTTGTCCGATTCCATCATCACTTTTAAAAAATAAAATGAATTTTTATATCAGAAAGGATGCATAATAAGTAACAAAAATAACGTATGATGTCTTACGAGTTCTCCTCAATACGATTATAATCCGTTCGATTTGAACGATAATCCTCTATAATATCTTTAACAGTTGGTTTCCTCGGTAAAGGCACTAACTAAAAGAAATTACTTTTAAGGAAAAAAGAACAATAGATTTAATTAAAAAGATTTCATAAAATAAAAAATATTTTTACCGTTCCATCAATATGAATGTTTTTCCAATCACGGTACAAAATAGCTTTAAGAGGTTCGGGAACAGAAAAGATCTCCTTTGGTTTGGATTTTTTTACAATTACCTCCTAAATTATTATACAGAGAAAAAATTATGAGAATATTATTTAAAAAAAATCTCAAAAAAATTAGACAAATTAAAAGTACTACTAACTCTTTCGTTTGGTTGTTCTTTTCTTCTCTTCCTACCGTTTTCTGAACATGGATCATTGACGGTCCTTTTGATTGCTGGACTTTTCTTCTCAAGAGACTTTATAATTTGCTTATGTTTCTCAATATTTGTTTCATCATATTTTAATACTCTTGATTCATCTACCCATTCATCCCATCTATATATATATATACAAAATAATTATTATCACTTATTTAACAATCAAAAACAAGTTAACTTACGAAGATTTCCATCCCGCATAATGTATATGATAATGTGGACCTGTCAAGCCTGTTTTTGGGTTCCTATTTGGCTCAACATAATACTTGGTATCTACTATCTAAAAAGTTCATACCATTATTAATTAAAAAATAAAAATAAAAATTTTAATAACGCAGATCAAAAAAAAACTCAACCTTCGCCTCGTAAATAAATTTCCCGTGAAAACAAAAGACTTTTTCGCCTTCTTGATGGAGAAAATCATTTTCCTTTGACATTGTTTTAAATATTCGAGAGAACCAGAAAAGAAACAAGTACAAATTTATATGGTTGAAGATACCATCCGCATAATTTGTGTATTGTTACACAGTTGTATTTATAATCATGTGTCGACTATGAAAATATGTTTAATTTAAGTATTTTGTTTACTTCATAAAAAGAATAAAAAGATCTTTCGATTTATGTAGCAAATAAAATTCTTTTTAATGATCAATAGTATGAAACATTTCATTTCCTAAAATATTCTTTTCATTATATTCAACAAAATTGTAGGTCAATATAATGAATCTATTTTCCAAAAGAAACTGCAGCTTTTGAAGTTTTTTTTTTTTTTTTTCCTTTTTATTTTAGATTATATTATGTGAGGGATTTTTTTTTTTTTGAAAATTACCTTGAAAACATAAAATAATTTATAAAAAAAAGAACCTTAAAAAGTAGTAAGAAAATGTTAGCATCAAATGTTTGAAATATTTCCAACATCGTCATTGTTTTTTAAACAGTTATAATAAAGGCCAAATAATATTACGAAAATTGTGAATATTGGTCTCATTAACCGTTACAGGATGAAATTGGAAAGAGTTGTAGAAATCGATTTTGCGGGTATTTTTTTGTTTTTTTTTTTTTATTTAAATAGATATTAGATCAGATTATCAGCTAATCATTTCGTTTTTTGTTCCCTTAGACAATTAGGATTGCCATTTTCCTGCGCTCAAATGCAAACATTAATGTATTTTGAAAATCTAAATCTTGATATTCGACTAAACAAGAACATTCATATTTTTCAAAGATAATAATCAAAAATATATGGGATTGTGCTGAGAAAAGAAATTTTTTTTTTAAGTAATCCCTTTTCCCATATTTGCTATGACCTACCACAGTAGAAATAAAATTGCTCGATATATTGATTATTCTGTGTAATTATCAGTTTAAGTAATTTTTATTTGAACTGACCTTATTCACTTTCCTTTCAACTTATTACGAACTATCCATACATTGTAATTTCTTTCTTTAGTATCATATCATTATTTTATGTTTTTTCGATCAGTAACAACAAATTTACTTTTCTGATTTTAATAAATACAATTAGAAATATTTATTATTTAAATGTGCGTGACTATTCGATTGATTGATGTGGTAGAGCGTAACATTCTCAGAATCTAAATCTCAGTATAAAGGTAAAAATACATATATTCAAATACAATTAAAAGTTATTCCTTTGAATATTTAACAAAATTTATTTCTTAACGTAGGTTATTGATTATAAGTAATTATAAATAAAAATTTTATATAGCAAATATTTCAAGAAATCTATATTGATTGCGTTTAGTTTAAATTATAAATGTAAAGCTTTAGTTGGTCTTTGCTATTTAAGTTTAATGTGCTTTTTTTTAAAAAATTAAAATTTGATTTTTAATAAAATAATAATGTTTTATATATTTTCTATCAATAAGTTTTAAATATTATGTTAAAAAAAATTAAGTTTATTTTCTTTTCAAAAGTAAAATTAGTCTTTAAAAATAATGTTGTAATAAAAAGCTTAAATATTACAATATTACCTTAAATTATATTTCTAATTAATCATATTGTTGTTTAATTAATAATTATATTGTTATTTATAATTTATTGAAGTTTTATATAAAAAATAACTTAATATAATAATAAATATAATAATTAATTAATAACTTTAATTAAATAAAATAAATTAAAATTTATTATTATTATTTTAAAAATAAAGTTTTTAAAATACTGTAAATAAAAATAAAACTTTTATATAAGACCTTTGCTATAGAAAAGAAAAAAATAGTTTATAAAAATAAAAAATAAGATAATGCAAAATTTGAACATATTTTTAATCTAAAAATTATGTTTAGCACATAAATATAAAATTGAATTTTCTGATAGTTTTCCCTTTTCTATTGTAATAGTTTCATATAATTATATATGTAATTCAATCTAATTTATAAATATCATAAGTTAAAATTTTATAATATTTTTTATTCTATTTTTTATACTTATTATTATTATTATTTATACAATTTATAATATATTTACTATGATATAATGATCATTATTACTACATCAAAATTAAAATTACATTACAACTAATTATAACTAGTAATAAATAAGCACTATAGAATTATAACTAATTGAATATCATTTTTAATCAAAAACTTAAAATGTAATTATATATATAATATATAAAAATGTTTAATATATTATTAATATTATTAATTAAATAAATTAATTGTAATAATTTTTTATAAAAAATAAAAAAAAAACTATTAATTAACAAAAAAATTAAAAAAAATTAAAAAATTTTTAATAAAAATTTAAATTTTATAATTATTTAAAAAATATTAATTAATAAATATTAAATTAGTTTTTTTTTAAAAATATTAAAAAATAAGTTTAATATTTATCCCTTAAACTATAAATATAAAATTATTTCTAAATATTTTAAAAAACTTAAAATATTTTGATATCTAATAATTATAAAAAAATAAAATAAAATTTTTAGATTTATCATATTATAATATATCTAATGATAATATTTTTAACTTTTAAAATTTCATAATTATTAATATGTATTAATTTTAATTTTTAATTTTTAAAAATAATTTATTAATTAATAATTATAAAAATATAAAATTTAATTTATTGGTTTCATCATAATATTATTATATTTCTAAAATTAATAAATAACAAAATATATGAATTTAAAATTTTAATTTTTTTCATAATAATTTATTATTTATTTATCTTTAAAAAATCACTATAGTTAATTACATTTTTTTTAATTTTACTTAGAAAACATTATAAAATTTATTATAAAGTATAATATATTTAAATATTTAAAAATAATTAAAATAATTGTAATTAATAAATAAAATTGCTTATAAATTTATAAATAAAACAGTTAAAAAAATAATATTAAGTATTTTAAAAATAATATTCTATAATATAACTTAAGAAATTTATAAAAGTATAGTAAAAAATGTAGATATAATATAGAATATCTATAAATATATTAAATATGCTAATCCTAAAATTACACAATTAGATAAAATAATCAATAAAATAAAATGATATTATATTAATTATAATAATACAGTTAACTTTTGATATAGTATAATATAACAAATTTTTAAATAAATATAATAAAAATACTCTTATTATAGTGAATTGGCTAATCAAATCTCTTAAAATCTTCATTATAGCTTTATAGTGAAGTTGAGGTTTAGAATATAGAATTTGTTATAATAAGAGTTGATTATATATATAATAAATCTAATTATAAATATTAAAAAAGAATTAAAGAATAAAAAGATATGATAAATATATATTAGTAATATAATAATATATTTGGTTATAATTATAGAATTATTACTGTATATTCATAAAAATAAGCATTATATAACACACTTCTTTATAGTAATTTATTTATTTGTCACATAGAATTTATTATATAGTCACATATATACTAATAAATTCATATATATTACATAGTATTTATTTTTAAAATTATACGGTATATAATAATTAAGTAATAATTATTTTATTTATAATATAAATATTATAGATTAATAAAACAAATGTTATATAATTTTTTTATAATAATTTTTAATTAGCTTAGAAATTTATTATAAAAATCTAAATTTTCAATCATATAAATAGTAGTTATCTTTTAATTATTAAATTATTATTTATAACTAATTTATTAATTATTAAAAAAATAATTATTATTTTGATAATTTAATAAGTTTTATTTATTATAATAATTCTTTAAGCATTTCTTTTTTTGAAAGTTTTATTAAATACAAATATATAAACTTTAAGTATTTTGAGCATAAATTTATCTTTAATATATTTTAATAAATTTTTCTTTAAAAGTATATTTAAATGTAAAAATTTATATTCTTTTATTATAAATTTACTAATTTACTTAAATTCATTATTTTAAATATATATTATTAACTTAAAAATATAGTATTTCTTTTAAGATATTTTTTATTAAGTTAGTTAAATTCTCATAATTTCTAACTTAAAAATTCAATTTATAAATGAATACCTTTATAAATTTCTAGATTAAAATTTATATAATAAAAATTTTAATCAAGTTTAATTAAAGTTTTTTTTAAGAACATAATATGTTAAATTAAATTTAGTTACTACTTAATTAATTAAATATTTCAGTCAATCTAATCATCAATTGAGTAATAATATTATATAATATATACTTATATTTTATATTTATATTAAATAATATAAAAATTTATATTATCATTATATTTAAAATATATAAGTATTTTATATTATAAAAGATAAAAAAATAAAATTTTATTTTATTTACTAAATATTAATTTTAATAATAAAAATTATGATTAAATAATAACTTAAAATTTTTTTTTTTAAATTTTTTTTCTATTATAAAGTATTCATATTATACTAATTATTTCTATATATAATAATTAATTTAAATTAATTATATTAAAATCTAAATTTTATTTTTTATATATTTTAAAAATCTTATTATTTAATATTAATATATTATTAAAAATCAAAAATTTAATTGAAATAAATTTATTATAATATAATTTTTTAATAATAATAAAAAATTATAAATAAAAATATATTTATATTTATATTAAAATAAAAAATAAAATATATTGTAGATTAAAATATAATTATAAAAGTAATTTAATAATTAAAGTTATATATTAATTAATGAATAATATATATTATTATATAATATAAATTTTTATTTATCAATTATAAAAAAAATATTATATTTATAATGTTTTGTGAAAAATATTTTTATTATTTATTAATAAAAATTAACTTTTATATTATATAAAATATATCTAATTTTTTAAATTTTTTATTTTTATATTATTTATTTAATATATATATATATATATTATTAAATATTTTAAATACATTATTTATATATTTTATAAATTTAATATTTATAATAATAAATAAAAAATTTTAATTCAAATTTTATAATATAATAATGATCAATATTAAAATTAAACTTTAGATTTAATATAAATATCTAATCTAATTTAATTCTAAATAAACTATAATTTTAACTAAATTATATTAATATTATATACAATTCTAATCAAATTTTGATGTTAACCTAAATTAAAAATTTTTTAATTAAAATCATACCATTATATAAAATTTCACATTATAATTTTATTATAATTTAAAGATAATAAATAATTTAAAATATGCAATATCATTAATATAAAAATATACTAATATTAATTATTTATTAATTTTATATTAGTAAATTTAATAAAAATTCTAACAAATATCAATAAAAAAGATTTATATATTATAATGTTATAATTATTATAATTATAATTATATTATTAAATTATATAAATTTATAGCTATTAAATAAAATCTATAAAATTAGTATAGACTAATTCCAATAATTCAATAGTTCAATTATCCAAAAATTCATTAATATAATAAATTAACTAACAATAATTATTAATAATTAAAGTTATATATATTATATAAATTGTATAAAAAAATTAAAAAATAAAAAGTAATAATCATAAATACTTTAATTTTTAATATTTAAAATTATTAAAATTATTAAATTCTAAATGCAAAAAAAAAATATAATATATATTTTTTTTATAAATTTAAATTAAATCAATAAAAAATACTTTTTTTTAAAAGTTAAAAAATAAATAAATATTAACCTTATTCTTAAAATCTATATAATATAACGAATAAAATTAATTTACCAATTTAAAAAACAAAATTATATCCACGTAATATAAAAATTTATTTATATACAGTCGTCCCTCTTTATAGTCAACTCCTCAGGATCAAGAATAAAAGTGTGATTATAATAAAAAGTGACTATATAGGGGGGTTTTATATATTGTTACTAAGTGTTGGTTCTGAAAGGGCATTAATAGATATTGATTCTTACGAAATGTGTGCTTATACTGAGGGGATTTATATAATGTGATTATACAGGGGGTGACTATAGAGGAGGACGACTGTATTTAATAAATAATAGTCAAAATCAAAAAAACTAATTATCTTGTTTTTATATTTAATTTATCTATTTTTAATTTAATATGTGCAAATTCTTTGAATAATTCGAGTTTTTTTAAAAAAAAAATGAAAATATAAATGGATCTTTTTATCATGTGATCTAATTTTTAATAAAAATATACGCATTGACAATTTATTTAATAGCGTCGTTTTGATTATTTTTATTTCTTCAATTGGAGCAGTTAATAATAATTGGTTTATAAGTATTTTCTTGTTTTAAACGCAAGTGTTCACCAGCAGTAATCCGTTTTCTCTCTTTACTCTCTTTACTCTCATCTAATCCTTCCCCTTCCCTTTCTCTTCCGATGATGAATTCACTAGGAATAGGATCTAAACCAACATCTCTACCAGCATGGCAAAAATAAGCAATACTATATCTATGCAAATTCATATTTTCTTTATTAAATATAACACGATGTTTAGTTGACTTAAATAAACCTTTTGTCCAAAATTCCATTAAATCTCCGATATTAATTAAAATTGCATTAGGAACAACAGGGACTTGTATCCATTTTTTTGTATATGGATGCTGAATTTCTAATCCTCCTATTTCTTTTTGAAATAATAATGTTATGGATCCGTAATCTGTATGGCTATTAAGAGATAAAAATTTTTTCAAAAATAAAATAAATATTACATAATAAAAGATATAGATTATTCAAATTACCTTCCCGCTCGAATATCTTGATTATAATTAATGTCTTCCGACACTTTACCTTCTTCAATCGTAATAGGAGGATAATGTAATATTCTAAAATTATCACCAGATTTCATTCCATACCCATGTCTTTTAGAAAACCAATTTTTTCCTTCTCCTTCTTCGTTATCTTCAATCTTTAATGAGATTGCCAATGATTGTAATACTTTCATACATAAATCATGACAAGCCTATAAAAAAATAATTTTTTCGTGAGTTAGTAAAAATTTGTATTTGATTCGTAAAAGACAATTAGATAATTACTTTTTCAAATGATTCGATAAATTTACTTTTCTCTTCGAAATATTTTGGTAATTCTTGTGAAATGGGTTTTCCATTTTGAAATTTTCCAAAATTAAAACATCTTATAATTAAAGAAAGAATATATATATATTACTTTTAAATTGCCAAGTAAATAATAATGGATATATATAATTTCAGTTACTCTTTATAATCTCCAATTTTTTGATGAGGAGGATCAAGTACTTCTTGCTTTAAATCAACAAAACCAAAATATTCGTCATTCATAATATATTTTAATTTTTCCTCTCTGGATATTCCAATGAAAAATTCTTTTGCCTAAACAATATTCGATCACAAAATTTATTCGTTCACATTATAAAATTTCAATTGATTCTTCACTTCCATACTCACAATTGAAAACATTTCATTAATGAATTCATTGGAAATTCCATGATTTTTTAAATAACAAAATCCAATATATTCACAAGCATATTTTATTTTTTTCGAACATTCTATTGAAAAGTCAATAATAGGAATTTCTTCATTATCGTTATTGCTTGACATTTTATTTAACTTAAAAATAAAAAGGACATGGAAGAGTAGCAGAATGGCAATTAGTTGAAAACGTAGTTTGTGTAACATAACAAAAAAATACATCATCATACATTGTTTGTTTTGTAAAAATTCGGGCGTTCAAAACGTGGGAGAAAGATAAACATTTGGTGGCAAAACGAGACGAAACGCCCAATTGCACAAATTACAATCGCAACATTGTTTAATGATGTATGTATGTTTAATACATTGTTAAAAGACAAATTATTTTTACATAATGAATTTGGTCGCATATTTGTCACATACTATATGATATAATCACGGTACTTATAAGGAAAGATTGCTAGGAAAATCAGGTTCTGGGAAATTTTTAGATATTATTAGATTAAAATTGTATAAGTCTTAATTTTAGTCAAAAAAAACTTCCCATATGGTTAAAATAAATTAGCTTATCAATGAATTTATAAATATTTAATTAAAAATTTATGTATAAAATAAATTAAATTAATTATCTAATAAATATTATTACTAAGATTTTTTAATATAATTACTTTAATAATTTTATTAAACAAACTTATATAAAATTAATTTTTATAAAATAATACCTATTTTATATTTATTATAAATATAAAAATTCACTTTTTAATTAATTTTAAACTATTGTTCTAAAATTGACTTTTATTTTAATTTATAATCTAAAATATTAAATATTTAATTATCAATATAGTAAGTTTACAATTAAAAACTTAATATTTAAAATTATAAATAATTAAAATTTATTAAAATTTTAAAATAATATTGTAAAATACAATATAAAAATTTATAGTGACAGTATTAACAAATGTGTAAATGCTTCTAATTTAACAAAAATATTCAATAATAATTTTAATACTACTTATTTGTTTATTTTGCAATCCTATCATTTGATAACAAAGTATCATATTTTTTTATTTAAAGTTTCTGACTTTTTCTTTAGGATTCATTATTTTAAATAAAACATCAAAAAATTCCTGAAATTTTAAATCATAACTCTTTATAAATTTAATAAATCTGCTGTATTTAATTTTGATAAATTCCCTTCCTTTTGATCTTAATAAATAACTTTAGTATTTATATTATTTAATTATTAAATAATCTGAAAATACTATAATTAATAAATTAATAAATTAAATAATTAATATAAAATAAATTATATACTGAAATTAGAACTATTTACTTTTTTTTTAATTCTGATATTTCTTATCAAGTTTTTCAATATTTGTAATAGTATTTAACAATTATTCATATGTTTATTATGATAAATAAACTTATTTCTGATTTTCTCTAGCATTATAAACAAATTATTATTATTTCTTTTGCTTTTATTTTTAATTTCATTTCTATTATAAACTATTACTTTATTATAATGCTTTGTATACAACACATCATTAATTTAAGATTAATAGATAGTATAGTATAAGAATATTTATTTACTTTCTTAATAGACTAATCTTTTAATTATTTATAAGTATTTTTATTATTATTTAATTCACACATTATCTTTATTATATCGTAGTTTACCTATTTATTAATAAAAAAAAAATCTCAAAAAAATAATTTGTAATATATTTAAAAAAGGGAAAAAAAGCTGAATGCAAAATTTAAATCTGATTTTTATGTGATAATATGTATAATTTAATAAATAATAATATTTGTTATTTTTACAATAATACCCATAATATAATTATGCTATTATATTTTATAAGCATATCACATTGTGAAATAATTATAAATATTAAATTGGATTATTTAATTATTACCTTAAAATTAATGCACATTTTTAAAAAATAAATGATTCAGCTTATATAGTATTTATTATATAACTAGTTTAAGTATCTATATTCTTTATTTACTTAAAATTGAGCTTATCTTTTATAAGTATATGAGATTATTATAAAAGTAGCAAAAATAGCTCTTCATTCATATTTAATAATTAACAATTTAAAATTGATCATAAAATTAATTATAAAAGCTACCTAATCACTTTTAATTTAAATCATAATTTAAAATGCATATTTTATCAACAAATTTTATTATAAATTATTGATTAAGCTTCTTTTCAGCTTTATGTATTATTATAAAACTTACAAAATGAACTTATAACATAAATTAAAAAAATTGATAGAATAATCAATTTAATCAAGCCTATAAAAAAGTATAATAATAAAGCAAATAAGTAAATAAAGTTACTTATCAGATATTAAAAATTGTAAAAGAATTTTAAAAACTTATTTGATAAAAAGTTAGGCTGAATCCAAAATTTTCATTTAATTAAATAGCAATTAAAATCTGCAAATTATACAAAAAAAAAGCATTATAGCTTTAATGTTAAAAAATTTCTACAAATAAAAAATAAATCTAAAAAAGAATATACTAAAAGCTATCAAAAAATAGATGATAAAAATAAAAAAATAGATAATTATAAAATATTATTAATAATAGTTATAGTAAAGAAAATAATAAAATTTAAATTTATATTAGAGTGTTCATTATCAAATTTACTAGGAATTTGCTATTAAATTAAATGCTATTATAACAATTATTACTTCATGCTACCCTTATTTCTTTATGCAAAAATTCTAATCTTATTTAAAAATGATCATATTAATTGAACTTACAGTGACCAAAGAATAAGTTATATTCATAAATAATTTGAGTTTAAGTATTTTCTTCTTATGCAATCACTTTAGTACTTTATTATTATTTATATTTTAAGAATACATATTCAATAATTAAAATAATAAAATTTATACTTACAAAAAAATTGAATTATTTTTATATTATTTGATCTTTAATTACAATTGTATTAAAAAAATAAAATGTAAATTAAAACTTAATAGATATATTTAAGCAGTCTTCTATAAATTTTTTATTGATAGATTACTAGATTAATAAAAGTTTTAATAAAAGTTTTTACAGTCAACTCTTGTTATAACGAACTCTATATCCTAGACTTCAACTTCGCTATAAGACTATAATGAAGATTTTAAGAGATTTAATTGGTCAATTCGTTATAACAAGAGTATTTTTATTATATTTGTTCAAAAAATTTGTTATAACAAGAGTTCGCTATAATAAGAGTTGACTGTATATTAAATTACTTTCCTTTACCTTTTTTAAAATTTTCATTTTTTTCTTGATTTCATCATAAGTTAGTATTAATATTTATTTATTATTTTATATCTTTCTTTCTTCTTAATAAATTTTATAATATTTTTTATTTTGTTTAGATATTTCTAGAGAATTTTGATATTATTAATTTTAAAAATATATAGAACAATTTTTTCTTCTTAAATTTTTTTTAAAATACTTCTAATGATACTGTAATTTTTAAATTTTATGATAAATTTAATGTAAATTAGTTTTATATTATATTTTTATATAAACATAATTCTATATTAATCATATTATAAGCTTTATATTTATCTCAGCTAATTTTAATATTGGTCATATTTAGTATTGTAACAGGATTGGATTGATGGACGTGGCGCAGCATATTGCAGATCTAAATGTCAGACATATTTGATATATTTGATATATTTGATATACTGGACATATT